TTGTGTAATCCCTTCACCTTTTTCACCCCGTCCCCCACCCCCTCCCCTCTGATAGCTGTCAGTCTGTTCTCTGTATCTATGAGTCTGTTTCTGTTAGTTTATTTTGTTCATTAAATTATATACATGTAAGTGAAATCATATGGTATTCATCTTTCTCTGACTGGCTTATTTCACTTAGCATAATACTCTCCAGGTCCATCCATGCTGTCGCAAAGGGTAAGATTTCCTCCTTTTTTACAGCTGAGTAGTATTTCATTGTGTAAATGTCCTAAAGCTTTTTTATCCACTCATCTAATAATGGACATTTGGGCTGCTTCCAAATCTTGGCTACTGTAAATAATGCTACAATGAACACACAGGTGCATATATTCTTTTGAATTAGGGTTGTGGGATTCTTTGGATATATTACCAGAAGTAGAGTCACTGGGTCATAAGGCAGTTCATTTTTACTTTTTTATGGAAACCCCAACCACAGTGGCTGCACCAATCTGCATTTCCACCAACAGTGCATCAGGGTTCCCTCTTCTCTGCATTCTCATCAATACATGTTTATTTATTTATATATTTTAAAATTTCATTTATTTTCAGGGAGAGGGGAAGGGAAAAAGAAAGAGAAACATCAATCGGTTGCCTCTCACATGCCCACAACTCAGGCATGTGCCCTGACTGGGAATCAAACCAGTGACCTTTCACTTTGCAGAATGATGCCCAACCCACTGAACCACACGGTCAGGACTGTTTATAGATTTATAGATGATGGCCATTTTGACAGGGGAGGTGATATCTCATTGTGGTTTTAATTTGCATTTCTCTGATGATTAGTGACACTGAAGAATGTTGTTCTTATTTTATAACTAGTTCTTACCTCAGAAGTATAATTCCAAAGGCTTCTGCTTGCTTGAGCTTATACCAAGGAGAACGAGAATCTTGCTTCCAAAGGAAAGAGAAGTCAAATTTTAGGCCTCTCGTGGCCAAATCAACCACTCCATAGCTTGCTTTTACCAACAAACTGTGTTATAATTGAGTTAAAATAATTATTCAATAACTTATCACAAGCATTATAAAGTGAAGGGGAGGCAGTGCAGGGATGAGGCTGGTTTTATGGGTATGGCCTCAGGTCTTTCTTTTTAGTAGGACCAAAGCTGAGTTTCTATTCTTCTGGCCAAAAGTCTGGGGAAAATTATAAGACCTGTCTTTCTTATTGAATGCTGTATCTCCAGCATATTAGGCACTCAATAAATACTGTGGAATGACTCTGCCTCCTAACTGGCAGGGTGCTAAAGCAACTCAACATTTAAGAGACAGATATAAAAAGAGAAAGCTTCCAAAGGATTGGAAAATTGTAGGAATATGTGAGAAAGAGAGAAAGACCATTTTTGCAGTGTCTACTGCAACTTAACAAACCACCCAAAACTCACTGCTTAAAACAATTATTTTACTACATCTCACAATCTCAAACTGTTAGAGTTGTCTAGACTCAGGTGTTTGTGGCCTTTCATGCAGTTGCAGCCTCTTAAGTGGTCTCCCTGCTTCCAGAGTCTATTAATACAGCACAGTGATCCTTCCAAAACCTGTCATATTATGTCCCTCCTCTACTTAATTCAAGGTTCTCACAATGGCCTACAAGACCCACAGGACCTGAACTCTTCACCTTCTCCCCCATTGCCTCTCTAACCTCCTGTGCCATTATTTACTTTTCCATTGGCTTACTTCCCTTCGGTCACATTGGCCTCTTTGGTGTTCTTTGAACATGCAGTCTCTCTTCATGGCCTTCGAACTTGCTGGCTAGTCTGCTTGCCAGGCTTCTACTGGAGATCTATCTCCACTTAACTTGGTCTCTTCAAGCCATTGTTCTGTTCAGTATAACTGACTCATTTAGGTCTTCACTAACTCTCCCTCCACCCAACCCCCACTGTTTTAATGGCTAAATGTGGATTTTTTCCGTACTATAATAGGCTGGTTCAGAAAGCCCACGTGTCACTTCCAGCCAAGATGGAGGCGTAGGTAGACACACTGTGCCTCCTCGCACAAACAAAATAAGGACAACAAAAAATTTAGAAACAAAAAACAACCAATACTGACAGAAAACTGAACTCTATGGAACTCCAACAACCAAGGAGTTAAAATAGACACATTCATCCAGACAGGTAGGAGGGGCGCAGTCGGGTGGCTGGGCAGGGAGGGGTGGCGGCCAAAAAAAAAAATCGGTGGCTGGTGGACCCCGGGCATGCAAGGCGGCAGTGGGCGGACCCAGCGAGGCAGCAGATTGTGGAGGGTCGCGGTGCACAAGGTGGCTTGCAGAACCAGGTAGTCCCACATTTGCACACAGATAAACCAGGCGAAACTGGGGAGTGAGACAGACCTTGCAACCCAGGGTCCCAGTGCGAGGAAATAAAACCTCAGAACACCGATTAAAAACACCTGTGGGGGTTGAGGTACCAGGAGCAACTCTCAGCCTCACAGGAGAGTTTGTTGGAGAGACCCACAGGGGCCTAGAATGTACACAAGCCTACCCATACAGGAATCATCACCAGAAGGGCCCAGTTTGCTTGGGGGAAGCGGCAGAAGTTACTGAAATCCAGCGGGGAGCGGAGCAAGCGCCATTGTTCCCTCTCTGACCCCTCCCCTACACATAGCGTCACAATGCAGCCTCGTGGGTTGCCCTGCCCTGGTGAACACCTAAGGCTCCGCCCCTACCTTAACGTAACAGGCGCGACAAGACAAAAAAAAGATGGCCAAAATGAAAGAACAGATCAAAGCTCCAGAAAAAATACAACTAAGTGATGAAGAGATAGCCAACCTATTAGATACACAGTTCAAAACACTGGTAATCAGGATGCTCACAGAATTGGTTGAATTTGGTTGCAAATTAGATGAAAAAATGAAGGCTATGTTCTAAGTGAAATAAAGAAAAATGCACAGGGAACCAATAGTGATGGGAAGGAAACTGGGACTCAAATCAATGGAGTGGACCAGGAGGAAGAAAGAAACAACCAAACAGAAAAGAAGGAAGAAACAAGAATTCAAAAAAATGAGGAGAGGCTTAGGAACCTCCAGGACATCTTTAAACGTTCCAACATCCGAATTATAGGGGTACCAGAAGGAGAAGAGGAAGAGCAACAAGTGGAAAAGTTATTTGAACAAACAATAAAGGAAAACTTCCCCAATCTGGCAAAGGAAATAGACTTCTAGGAAGTCCAGGAAGCTCAGAGAGCCCCAAAGAAGTTAAGCCCAAGGAGGAACACACCAAGGCACATCATAATTACATTAGCCAAGATTAAAATGAAGGAGGGAATCCTAGAAGCAGAAGAGATAAGGAGACAGTTACCTACAAAGGAGTTCCCATCAGACTGTCAGCTGATTTCTCAAAAGAGACCTTACAGGCAAGAAGGGGCTGGAAAGAAATATTCCAAGTCATGAAAGGCAAGGACCTACATCCCAGATTGCTCTATCCAGCAAAGTTTTCATTGAGAATGGCAGATAAAGTGCTTCTCAGATAAGGTCAAGTTAAAGGAGTTCATCATCACCAAGCTCTTATTATATGAAATGTTAAAGGGACTTATCTAAGAAAAAGAAGATAAAAAACCTGTATAGTAAAATGACAGCAAACTCACAATTATTAACAACCACACCTAAAACAAAAACAAAAACAAACTAAGCAATCAGCTAGAACAGGAACAGAACCACAGAAATGGAGATCACATGGAGGGTTAGCAACAGGGGAGTGGGAGAAGGAGAGAGGGGGGGGAAATGTGCAGAGAATAAGTAGCGTAGATGGTAGGTAGAAAATAGATAGGGGGAAGGCAATAATAGTATGGGAAATGGAGAAGCTAAAGAACTTATGACACATGGACATGTACTAAAGGGGGGAGTGTGTGTGGGAGAGGATGTGCAGGGTGCAGGGGAGTGAAGGGGGAAAATGGGACAACTGTAATAGCATAACCAATAAAGTATATTTTTAAAAAGCCCACGTGAGTCACCACACTGGGCATTATGGACATAGAAAGATCTGGCCTGCAAAGGCTTTTGGTGATTTTGTTACAGAACACCAGCCTATTCAATTCTGGAACAGAGGTATGGCTCTACTGCCTGCCACCAAGACTCCCAATGCCAAATTGGTAAAAAGGAAAGGAATTGCTTATTTCAAAACTACACAGATTTAAAATAATGATGGAATTCTGCAATTAAGTCCCACTCCCTTTAAAATACCCACTACCTCTCCCCTCCTCGCCCCCTCCCCCCACACTCTGGCCTCCCTTTTCTCAAATCAGGCCAGTTTTCAGAATATGCCAATCAGAGGTCCCGTTTTTTCAGGGAAAACAAAACAGAAGTCTGCAGCCCAGCATTCCCCGGGTCTCAGTTCAGAATTCCCCCACTTCCCCCAGTAATCCGTACTTGGCCCGGCAGGTTCCTCAATCCCCAGCGCCATCAGCCACGTCTCCGTGTTCTCCAATTCTTAATCCAAAACCCCACGGGCACCTCCTCATAGCTGCCTGTGGTGCTCTTTCTGCACCCTTTCAAACCTCCTGGCCAAGAGTGACGAATGGGTGCCTTGCTTAGTTTAAATATTCACACTGAACTCCCCTTGTCTCCAGGAGGCTCCTGCCTCTCAGGACGCAGGGTATGCTTTTCCATCCCCCAAGCCAGGATAATGGGGGACTTCTCCGTTTGTCTCCACATCCCGTTTCAATTTCTCCACAGGATAGCTCAAAACTGCGGTTCCCAAATGAGCTCTCATTTCACAGAGTGGTAGTCGGAACCAGGTCCTAGAAGGAGAATTTACTCCTGGAAAGAAGACTGTGACTTTTTCCAATCTGGGTTCCAGGAGCCTTGCCCTAGCAGGTACAACCCAGGCGTTTTAGAAATTTGTGAATGAGGAGCAAGGACGGCCCCGCCTTCTTTCCTTCAGGAGGTGCAACAGTTTCTGGTCCTCGATCTACCGCTCGGCGCTTGTCCCTTCCCCGCCAGCCTGCTCTTGCGGCCCATCGATCGGCTCGGTCATCTCGCGCCTGCGCCTTTGGACTGTCAGTCGGAGGCGGCGTGGGGAGTGCTAGGAGCAGCAGCAGCGAGCCAGGAGCCGAGGTAAAGCTTCGTCTTCCGCGCTTCCAGGCTGCCTTCTAGCTGGCTGACGGGGGTGGGCAGTACTGTGGTGGCCGCCGGGCTCCACGTCGTCGTATGAGGGAGGCGGGTCCTCGAGCCTGGCCAAGGAGGGCCTGCGGGGTTGCAGGAGGGTGCAGTGTCCCAGAGTCGCCCGCTTGAGTCGCTGAGCGAGCAACTCGGCCAGGGAACCAAGTGTCCGAACTAGAAGAGAACTTGGGGAGAATCCGAGCCAACCACCTTGTGCAACAGATGGAGAAATAGTTTCAGAGAGGAGAGGATCTGCTCGAAGTCACAGCGAGTGAGGACCAGACGCCCTTAGCGCAGTCTCTGAACTCTTTCCACTTCAGCTCTTCATTCTTTATTTTGCCTATTTTTAGTTGTTTAGCTGCAAGACAATGAGATATAAAAACGGAATAAATAAGGCCCACACGAGAGATCAATTATGATTTTGAACACATTGTTTGTATCTTACCAGTTTACAAAAGGAGAATGCAATGAGTGCTATGATGAAGGCATGTCTGAGATGCCGTGACCTCCCTCTTTTAAACTGGAGAGGCTAACGAGAAACTCGTCTCCTCGATTCCCATCACTTAGAGTCATGGTGGTGACATTGAGGCATTTGACAGTCTGCATGGTATTGTGACTAGTTATGTTCGTGATTATCACCCAGAGTCTCATTGAGAGCAGGGAACTCATCCCCCTGGCTTGGGTTCTAATGTCTCGTCTGTACATGTTTGAGCTGGACTCTTACACGGGGTTTTCGTGAAGTTCACAAGTACTCATTCCACAAACACTGAACGTCTGGCATCTGTTGAGAATTGTGTTAGGTACTGCAAATACAGTAATAACAAATACAGTCCCTGCCTTCAAGGAACACGGGGGAAATAGGCATTTAAAGACATGGGCGTCAGAGACTGTAAAGGCAGAGATGATCTGTACATGGCAGAGTGCAAGCACCCAAGGGGGAAGGAGTTGCTTCTACCAGGAGGGTGGGAAGGATTAGGAATGGCTTTTTTAGGCATAATGATTGTTAGAACTGAGTCTTAAAAGTTTAATAGGTGATTACTAGGCACAGGAGAAAGGTACCTAGGAAGCAAGAATGGTAATACAGAGACCAGAATTATGCAACAGCATGGTTCAGTTGGCAAAGAAGGCTTTCCGTGATCTAGCCTCTGTCTAATAATATCAAACACTTTTATAGTGCTTGCTGTGGGGTTGACTTATTTTGTGTGCTCTGCATAGCTTAACTCATTTACTGTTCACAACAGCTCTGTGAAGCAGAAACTGTAATTATCCTCACTTAGAAAATGAAGAACTCAAGACTCAGGTCTTTTGACTCTGGAAGGTCCAGTGCTGTTTTCTGAGTAACATCAGATGTGATGGAAGTTATATGGTGCCAAATTGAAGTTAAATTCCAATCTGAGGTCAGGCTTGCTGCAATCAAAATTATAGTATCTCTGCCTTGGCTGGTATGGCTCACTTGGTTGGAGAGTCATTTCATAAACCTAAGGGTCCTGGATTCGATTCCTGGTCAGGGCGCATGCTTGGGCTGTGGGTTCGGTCCCCAGCTGGGGACCATGTGAGAGGCAGCCATTTGATTACTGTATCTTTGTGTGGATATTGCTCAATGGCCTTCTCTTAGTCCTTTGGGTGTATGAATATAAGCGCCGCAGTTAAGATATTGATGTGAGGGGCCCAGGACTGGTTATAATTATGGTAAAGGTGCAATATTATTTGCCAGTTTGATGTTAAATAAATTCTTTTTCTGAAATGCATTTCACGCTCGTATTAAAAAGGTTATACCATTTGTTGTAAGTCAAAGGGTACTTTTATTTTTAATCAGTAAGGAATTATGACTTTTACTGTGCTTCTCTTCTGTGGTAGCTCATGTAAAGAGATTCTTTCTTTTTTTAAAGATTTTATTTATTTAGTTTTAGACAGAGGAAATGGGTGGGAGAAAGAGAGAGAGAGAAACATTGATGTGTGGTTACCTCTCTCACATCCCCTACTGAGGTCCTGGCCTGCAACCCAGGCATGTGCCGTGACTGGGAATCAAACCAGTGACCCCTTGCTTCCCAGGCTGGTGCTCAGTCCACTAAGCCACACCAGACAGGGCAAGAGATTCTTTTGAAGGTCAAATAGTTTCCTTAAATTTGAAAAAAGAAATTAATTTGGTTTGTTTCTGCAACTGGGCTCTTCAAATCTAGATCCAGATGCAAGCTTACATGTATGTTTAATATTTATAGTTGGGGGTAATGAGAAGATGGGAGTAGTTGGCTAAATTATTGGAGGAATTTAAGTCATTTCATACTTTTCAGAGACCTAATATGGTTGTAGTGTGCTGTTAATTTTAGCCAGGAATTTTAAACATTTTCTAGGAATAAGAATTGAATCAGAAGCACACTCGGTAAACTATTACTTCGTCAAGAGTCAGCTCAAGTCTTACCTTCCTATACAGCCTTCCCTGTCTTTTCTAGGAAGACTTAGGTGTTACCTTCAGTATTTGCCTACTGTATCTTGGATATATCTCTGTGGTGGCACTAATGATAGCATATTGTAATTTACTGAATTTGTCTTCAGATAAATTGTAAGCAGCTCAAGGGCAAGGGCCAGATTTTTAAAATTCATGTCCTTCCTCTAGCCCATCTCCCCAGCCTGGAGCTTAGAGTGCACAAGTATACAGGGTGAAAAAAAGTAGGTTTACAGTTGTGAGTACACAAAACACACAGTTGATTCTTGTATTATAATTTATAAGTTATTGTATTATATTCCATACAAACAACTCTAAACCTACTTCCTCCCCACCCCCCTATGGTAAGAGAATATGATAAAGGTGATGTTTATGCTGTAGCTAAGGAGCCGTTCTTATCTGGTTATTGGAGTTGGAAGCGATGCATTTGACATGGTGGATATCAATAACCTAAATAGAGATTGCATTAGTATTGTATATGCTCTGATTTTTGTTACTTTTTTCCCATTAATTATTTTTCTCTGTGATTGTAGTTTGTAAACATGGAATTTCAAGCAGTGGTCATGGCAGTTGGAGGGGGATCCCGGATGACAGATCTGACTTCCAGCATTCCCAAACCTCTGCTTCCAGTGGGGAACAAACCTTTAATTTGGTACCCACTGAACCTGCTTGAGCGTGTTGGATTTGAAGGTGAGCTGTGTCAATGAGATGGACTCATAAAACTTTTAGGGTGTTTGATCCCAATGATTTGTCAGTTTTATGAGGGTGAGGGAGGATGAATGAGAGAAGGCTAGGACCCAGTGTTGGCTGGAGGCTGGTCTCTTTAAATTAGAAACATAGGAGTACTCTGTTGCTGTGTGAAAAAGGTTGAGAAAATAGCACTGGTACTGTTTTAGAACCGGTCTCCACAACGACCTAAAATGAACCTTGTAAGGATATCAGAAAGAACATAGTAGGAATGCAGGTGCCTCATAGACAGTACTTACTGTGAATCTATATGTGCCAAATAATATTATATTAAGCACTGGGGTACAGAATTGAAAAGATAGCTCAGCTCCTGATCTTCTTTAGACCTTAAAGTCTAATGGAGAGATATACATATAAATAGAGAGTCCTGGCTGGTGTGGCTCAGTATATCGAAGGCTGGCCTGCAAACCAAAAGGTTGCTGGTTCAGTTCCTAGTCGGGGCACATGCCTGGGTTGTGGGCCAGGTCCCCAATTGAGGGCATGCAAGAGGCAACCAATTGATGTATTTCTTGCACATCAGTGTTTCTCTCCCTCTTTTTCTCCTTCCCTTCCTCTCTTCTCTCTAAAAATAAATAAACAAAATCTTTTTAAAAAAAGATTATGAAGGAAGTTAATTCAATGTGAAAGTTCTCAAAGAATACAATATTATTGTGTAACATGGTAAATGTTATAACAGAGGTTCATTATAAGTGCTTGGAAATACAAAGGAAGTTGCTGCTTCTCCTTGAGGGATTAAGGGAACTCTTCACAGAATAGCTGACCCTTGAGTTAAGTCTTGAAAAGTAGATGATCGGATTGACAAGTGAGGAGAGAACATTCTGTGAAGAAGAAATGATAGGAAGAGATGCAGACTCATGATCAGCACAGCACGTTCTGGCAACTGCTAGTCCTTCTGTGTGGCTGTGATGTCAAGCAGAAGGGAGGATAGATGTCATGAGAGAGATAAGCAGGGGCCATGCTAAAGGGCCTTGTCTTCCGTGCTGAGGGATATAGATTTTTTCTGAAAGCAGTGGGAAACCAGTGAAAGGCTTAAATAAAAGTCTAATGTGGTTAGATTCACACTTTAGCTATTTTGTATCTTTTACATCTTTATGTAAGTTTTAGAATTAGCTCATCAGTTTTTACAAAAAGTGTTGCTGAGATTTTCATTGTGATTGAATTGCATCCAGAAACTAATAGGAAGAGAATTCATATCGTAACAATACTTAGTCTTCCGATCCATGAGCATGCAACATCTCTCCACTTTCTTATGTCTGCTGTAATTGCAGTGATTTTATAGTTTTCTGTGTGTAGGATTTACACATATTTAATTAAATTTATCTGTAAGTAGTTTATATTTGTGATGCCAATGTAAATAGTAATAGTTATATTCTAATTTCCAGTTGTTTGTTTTTATTATATAAAAATAGTTATTAAAAATACTGACTTTTTTTTAAAGATTTTTTTATTTTTTATTTATTTTTTAGAGAGGGAAGGGAGGGAGAAAGAGAGAGAGAGAAACATCAATGTGCAGTTGCTGGGGGCCATGGCCTGCAACCCAGGCATGTGCCCTGACTGGGAATCAAACCTGCAACACTGGTTCACAGCCCATGCTCAATCCACTGAGCTACGCCAGCCAGGGCCAGATACTGACTTTTTAAACTGCAACTCAATACATTTATCAATTTTTACAGCATTTTTGTAGATTCCTTAGGATTTTCTACAACTTGACCTAATTGACATTTATAGAACGTTTCATCTAATAAAACAGAATGTACATTCTTTTTTAAAAATATATTTTATTGATTATGCTATTGTAGTTGTCCCATTTCCCCCCCTTTATTCCCCTCCACCCTGCACACCCCCTCCCACCCACATTCCCCCCGTTTAGTTCATGTCCATGTGTCATAAGTTCTTTAGCTTCTACATTTCCCATACTATTCTTGCCCACCCCCTATCTATTTTCTACCTACCATCTACGCTACTTATTCTCTGTACCTTTTCCCCCCTCTCTCCTCCTCCCACTCCCCTGTTGCTAACCCTCCATGTGATCTCCATTTCTGTGGTTCTGTTCCTGTTCTAGCTGATTGCTTAGTTTGTTTTTGTTTTTGTTTTAGGTGTGGTTGTTAATAATTGTGAGTTTGCTGTCATTTTACTATACAGGTTTTTTATCTCCTTTTTCTTAGATAAGTCCCTTTAACATTTCATATAATAAGAGCTTGGTGATGATGAACTCCTTTAACTTGGCCTTATCTGAGAAGCACTTTATCTGCCCTTCCATTCTAAATGAAAGCTTTGCTGGATAGAGCAATCTTGGATGTAGGTCCTTGCTTTCATGACTTGGAATACTTCTTTCCAGCCCCTTCTTGCCTGTAAGGTCTCTTTTGAGAAATCAGCTGACAGTCTGATGGGAACTCCTTTGTAGGTAACTGTCTCCTTATCTCTTGCTGCTTCTAGGATTCTCTCCTTCATTTTAATCTTGGCTAATGTAATTATGATGTTCCCAGGTGTGTTCCTCCTTGGGTCCAACTTCTTTGGGACTCTCTGAGCTTCCTGGGCTTCCTGGAAGTCTATTTCCTTTGCCAGATTGGGGAAGTTCTCCTTTATTGTTTGTTCAAATAACTTTTCCACTTGTTGCTCTTCCTCTTCTCCTTCTGGTACCCCTATAATTCGGATGTTGGAACGTTTAAAGATGTCCTGGAGGTTCCTAAGCCTCTCCTCATTTTTTTGAATTCTTGTTTCTTCCTTCTTTTCTGTTTGGTTGTTTCTTTCTTCCTCCTGGCCCACTCCGTTGATTTGAGTCCCAGTTTCCTTCCCATCACTGTTGGTGGGAACATTTGCCTTTAGTTCACTTAGCGTAGCCTTCATTTTTTTCATTTAATTTGTAACCAAATCTGTGATCATCCTGATTACCAGTGCTTTGAACTGTGCATCTGATAGGTTGACTATCTCTTCATTGCTTAGTTGATTGTGCTCTGGAGCTTTGATGTATTCTTCCGTTTGTCTTGATGTGCCTGTTATGTAGTGGGGGGCAGAGCCTTATGTATTCACCAAGGCGGGGCAACCCATGTCTCCGCATTGTGAGACTGTGTGGGGGGGAGGGGTCAGAGAGGGAACAATGGCGCTTGCTCCTCTCCCTGCCGGATTTCAGTAACTTCTGCCGCTTCCCCCAAGCAAACTGGGCCCTTCTGGTGCTGATTCCCATGTGGTTGGGCTTGTGTACGTTCTAGGCCCCTGTGGGTCTCTCCAACAAACTCCTGTGAGGCTGGGAGTTGCTCCTGGCCCCTCAACCCCCACAAGTGTTTTCAGTTGGTGTTTTGGGGCTTTATTTCCCCACGCTGGGACCCTGGCGCTCTCGGCTTGTCTTGCTCCCCAGTTTTGTTTGGTTTATCTGTGCGTGTGAATGGAGGACTGCCAGGTCAGCCAGCTGCCCTGCACACCATGCCCTGCTTCACAATTGCCACCTCGCTGGGTCTGCCCGTTGCCACCCCGAACCCAGGGTCTGTCCGCTGTGGTCTTGTACGCTCGGGGTTTCTCGGCTGCTGCCTTGCGCACCCAGTGCCACAGCTTTTTTTTGCCACAAGTCCTCTCTGCCCTGCAGCCCTACTCCGCCCCTCCTACATGTCTGGATGAATGTGTTTATTTTAACTCCTTGGCTGTGGGACTTCCATACAGTTCAATTTTCTGGCAGTTCTGGTTGTTATTTTGTTTCTAAATTGTTGTTGTCGTCCTTATTTTGGTTGTGTGAGGAGGCACAGTGTGGCTACCTATGCCTCCATCTTGGCCGGAAGTCCCAGAATGTACATTCTTTTCAAGTACTTTTACCAAGATAGACTATATTTTTGGAAATAAAACAAGTCTCAAATTTATAAGGATTAGAATCATACAAAGTATATTCTTTTTTTTTTTTAAGTATTTATTTATTTTTAGAGAGAGGGGAAGGGAAGGAGAGAGGAAGAGAAACATTATGTGTGGTTGCCTCTCACATGGACCCTCACTATGGACCTGGCCTGCAACCCAGGCACGCGCCCCGACCGGGAATCAAACCTGCGACCCTTTGGTTCGCAGCCCGCGCTCAGTCCACTGAGCTACGTGAGCCAGGGCACAGAGTATATTCTTATAAAAAACCATGGCAGATTTAAATTAGGCATTGATAACAGAAAGATAGCAAGAGAATCCCTAAGTATTTGGAGATTAAATCACACACTTCAACATAATATGTTTCCATATCAACACAATAAAGTGTTTCCGTATGTTAAAGAAGAAATCAGAGGGAAATTAGAAAATATTTTTCATTTACTGGAAATGAAATGCACTGTATTAAAATTTAAGGGATGTAGTGTAGAGGAAAGCTGTGTAGAGGAAAATATATAGCATTAAGCACTATATTAGAAAAGAAAAATATCTCAAATTATCATCAAAGTTTTGCTTTCAGAAACTAGAAAAAGAGGAGCAAATGAAACCCAAATAACTAGGAAGAAAATTTTTAAAAAGATGAGAGCAGAAATAAATGAAATCGAAAACAAAAGCATTACAGAAAAATCAATAAAATTATTAAATATTTAGGTAGACTGATGTACAAAAAAAGAGGAGACATATTACTAATAACAGGAATGAGAGAGGAAACATAACTATAGATCCTCACAGACATTAAAAAAATTAGGGAATATTATGAACATTATGGTAATAAACTTCATAACTTAGATTTACTTTTTTAAAGAATTGCTTTGGAAGCTATATGAGGGATGGATTTGAGGGAGTCAAGACTACCAGCAGGGAGATGAGCTAGGAGATTGTCACAGAAGTCCACACCAGCAATGGAGAGGGCCTGAACTAAAGACGTAATATTAAGGATGGAGAAGAGGGTACATTTGAAAAAGTTGATGATGAAGAGGAGGGGAAATAGAAAAACAAGGGAGTTCCCTCTACTTTTTGCTTGGGTAACGAGGTGATGCCATGAGCTAGGAAAGGGAATAAGAGACAAGGAACAGGTTTGAATGAAGAGAATGAATTCAGCTTTGGCCACAATGAGTTTGAGTTGTCCTATAATAAGAGATAACAAATCAGAGGACCACATGGAGGTGGTGCTAGATTCTGGGGCCCTGTCTGTGATCCAGTGATCACACTGGATGTGTGAGATTCCATTCCATTCCACTGTGAGATTGCCTTCCTGGGCAGACCCATAACATTTCTTTTTTTTTTCTTTTTTTTTTTAATATATTTTATTGATTATGCTAAAATGGGACAGTTGTCCCATTTTCCCCCCTTCACTCCCCTCCACCCTGTACACCCTCTCCCACACATATCCTCCCCTTTAGTTCATGTCCATGTGTCATACCTATGAGTTCTTTAGCTTCTACATTTCCCATAGTATTCTTACTCTCCCCCTATCTATTTTCAGCCTACATTCTATGCTACTTATTCTCTGTACCTTTTCCCCCTCTCTCCTCCTCCCACTCCCCTGTTGCTAACCCTCCATGTATGTGATCTCCATTTCTGTGGTTCTGTTCCTGTTCTAGTTGTTTGCTTAGTTTCTTTTGGTTTTGCTTTAGGTGTGGTTGTTAATAATTGTGAGTTTGCTGTCATTTTACTATACAGGTTTTTTCCTTATCTTCTTTTCTTAGATAAGTCCCTTTAACATTTCATAAAATAAGGGCTTGGTGGTGATGAACCCCTTTAACTTGATCTTATCTGAGAAGCACTTTATCTGCCCTTCCATTCTAAATGAAAGCTTTGCTGGATAGAGCAATCTGGGATGTAGGTCCTTGTCTTTCATGACTTGGAATATTTCTTTCCAGCCCCTTCTTGCCTGTAAGGCCTCTTTGGAGAAATCAGCTGACAGTCTGATGGGAACTCCTTTGTAGGTGACTGTCCCCTTATCTCTTGCTGCTTCTAGGATTCTCTCCTTCGTTTTTACCTTGGCTAATGTAATTATGATGTGCCTTGGTGTGTTTCTTCTTGGGTCCAACTTCTTTGGGGCTCTCTGAGCTTCCTGGATTTCTTGGAAGACTATTTCCTTTGTCAGATTGGGGAAGTTCTCCTTTATTATTTGTTCAACTACGTGCTGAATCTGTTGTTTTTCCCCTTCCCCTTCTGGTACCCCTATAATTCAGATGTTGGAACGTTTAAAGATGTCCTTGAGGTTCCTAAGCTTCTCCTCATTTTTTTTGAATTCTTATTTCTTCATGCTTTCCTGCTTGGTTGTTTCTATTTTCCTTCTGGTTCACTGTATTGTTTTGAGTCCCAGTTTCCTTCCCTTCACTATTGGGTCTCCTCTGTGTATCTTCCTTCATCTCTTTTATGGTGACCTGCATCTTTTCATCTAATTTGCGCCCAAAATCAACCAATTCCGTGAGCTTTCTGATCACCAGTGTTTTGAACTGTGCATCTGATAGATTGGCTATTTCTTGGTCGCTCAAAAGGATGAGTCCTGGGGGACTGATCTGTTCTTCTGTTGGAAACATGTCTCTCCTTGTCTCTCTCTCTCTTTTTGGTCTGGTTGCTCTTGTTACGGTGAGGGGCAGAGCCTTAGGTGTTTACCTGGGCTGGGCACCCCAGTCGCTAGATTGTGACGTTGTATGTGGGGATGGGTGCGGGGGCGGGAGGGAACAATGGCGGTAGTTCCGTTCTCCCGGGAACACAGTCCCTTCTCTGGGATCCTGGGTTGTGGGCTCTGCCCTGGTCCACAATCGCTGCTTCACTGGGTTCGCCAGCCTCCGCTTGCGCACTCACACCACTGCGATCTTGCGCGCCCCGGATGGCTCACGCCAAGTTCGCTCCCAGTTCGCGCCGAGTTCTCCCCGATCACTGCGCACCGATGCCGACCCGCACCCGCCTGGCTCCGCTTTGCCTACCTGTCTGGGTGAATGGGTCTACTTCAACTTCTTGGCTGTCCGACTTCCATTCAGATAAATTCTCTGTCAGTTCTGTGTGTTATTCTAGCTCTAAATTGTTGTTGTTCTAATCTTGGTTGTACGTGGAGGTACGGTGCGTCCACCTATGCCTCCATCTTGCTGGAAGTCCCATTTCTTTGCAGTAGTCTACATGACATTGACAGTAAGAGATTATGTTTTACGCGAGATTTTCTTTAGAGTTCAATCTCATGGGTGAAGGACACACCTTAATATACTTTAAAATCTCCTAACTTCCTTTAATTACTCCTTAGGATTTGTCATCTGCCTTTTTTTCACTATATATATATATAGTGAAGATATATATATATATATATATCTTTAGTTCTGCTTGGAGGTGGCATTTTGTAGTATCTACTGTGGTATCTGTGGCATTTTAATATCTACTACATAGAAAATTACTCTCACTGAGGCTCACTCAGAAATTGGAGTATGCTTTCTTTTTTTCTTTTTTTTTAAGATTGTATTTATTTTTTATTTCCTTAGAGGAGAAGGGAGAGGAAAAGAGGGAGAGAAACACTGATGTGTAAGAGATACATTGGTTCCTCTCACATGCTGCCAAGTGGGGACCTGACCCACAACCCAGGCATGTGCCCTGACCAGGAATTGAACCAGTGACCTTTTGGTTCACAGTCCAGTGCTCAACCCACTGAGCCACACCAGCCAGGGCTGGAGCATGCCTTTTTAACATAGGACTCTAGAGTTTAATACTCATGTCTGTGTTTGCTCTTTTCATATTGTTCATGGTTCTAAAGAAGTTAACATAGCCCTTAGCTTTTGTCTCTCTCCATACAAAGGTGTCTTGGTCCAACTATTAGACTGACTGTGCCGTATTTGCTAAGTTACTCCTTTCACTCTATCCACTTTACCTAAATGTTCTCTCCAACCCATGGACATGTCACCTTCTCTTTGAAATCCCAAACAGCATGATTACCCTGTCTTCTATGCTTCCATCACACTTCATCTATCTTAGTACCCTCAAGGCCTGCTTTATGCTGTAGTTAGCAGCATGGCAGACAGATCTCTTCGAGAGCAGTTACTGTGTCTCATTTATCTTTGTAACATCAGCATTTTACATACAGTATGTACTAAAGAAATTTTTTTGTACTTAAATTCATCATGGCTTACCTTAAATGCCATCTCTTCCATGAAACCTTCCTTAACCATTTCCATGTCTAGTTTCTTCATGTTACATTTCTTTAAAATAGGAACCATGATGAATTCATTTCTGAATTCCCAGCGCCTGTTTGTCCTTTACATATTAAATGTATTTGTATTTACTGGATGAATGAATGAGTGAGTTAGTGACTGAGAGAAGGCAGAGTGGGGAGAGGAAGAAAGAAGAGAAAATCAAAGAAGGAAGGTTAAATGATTTGAAAAAGAAAGAGGAATAAAGAAGAGAAGAAAATAGAAAAGAATGGTTACAGTGAAAGGGAGAGATAATTACGACCTGGAGCAGTATCATGGAACAAGTAGAAATTGTTCCACTTTAGAGATGATAAAATTCAATCTTCAGATATCAGCAACATGTGTTATGTTACCGCAGATTACATACCCTACCAAACATCTGTGACAAATAGCTACACGGGTAAAGACATCTGTTACGGGGATCACTTACTAGAGTTCATTGTTATTCCTTGGTGAAGCAGTAAAGGCTACCTGGTGGGAAGTGGTGATAGCTCTTACTCTGTAGTGAATGAAGAGTTAAAATGGGATATATTTTGATGAATGCTCTTCTGAATTGTTTACGCCAAGAAGTATCATGTCATATATTAAAGTGTGGGCTCTAATCAGACAGACCTGAGTTTTACCTTGAATCCACTGTTACTAGTTGTGTGACGCTGAACTAAGCCACACAACTTACAGCCCACGTTTCCTCATTTGTAAACTGAGAGGTTGTTCTAAGAACTGTAAGAAAATATGTGAAAAGGCTCAATAATATTAACTGTTAGAAATACCAAATCTAATTTGAAATAGTCAAACTGTTATCTAAATGAATGAGAGATTTTGTGTTTTTCTTTCTCTTTTGTGCTATAGAAGTCATTGTTGTTACAACCAGAGATGTCCAAAAGGCTCTGTCTGCAGAATTCAAGATGAAAATGAAGCTAGATATTGTGTGTATTCCTGATGAAGCCGACAAGGGAACTGCAGATTCTCTGCGCCACATATATCCAAAACTTAAGGTGAAACACTGTTTCTTGTTTTTTATTGCTCATTGAAGATAAATGTCATCTTATATTTCTCCAGTGCATTATAGTTTACAGTGCTTTTCAAAAAGTACATTCTTGCACCACACACTTTGTTGCCCATCTCTTCAGCTGGTTTTAGTTTAATTTAATTACTAGTGAAGATTTAAACATTTAGTTGTCACAGTCACTGGTTTCCAATATTTTAAAGTAATTATACATCTTTATAAAAAAGTACTTAAAATTTATTTTAAAAGATTCTATTTATATGAAGTTCAAGGATGAGCCACATTATTATATAGTGATATAATTTTTAAAATTATTATATGGTGATATAACTGCAAATGACAAATTAACTGGAAAGAAGTACAGAGAAACTTAAAAAATTCTAGATCCCCTCACTTGATAATACTTAAATTTTTGATCTCTTGTGATTAAAAAACTAACAAGGGCATATGGGTATGAGGATGCAGTCTCCCCAATGGCCAGTGGCCCACAAACTGAGAAAGATCCATCATAAATTGTTCTAAAATTGATGACCTTTAGAAAGAATTCAGTCTGTGTGATAATGTTGCCATCCTATTTGAATTGGGGGGCAGACTTTCTTCTGCTATTTCTGGTGACTTCAAACAGATGTATTAATATATTCAACCTGCCTGTGCACTAAGCAACAAAAAAGTAATGCAGAAATGTGCATGACCTCCGTTCCCCTTTATTGGGGAATAATTTACACGTAGTACAATATACACAGATATTAAGAAGTATGCAGTTCAATGAGTTTAGACAAATATATACATCCAGTTTACCATTACCCAAATCTAGGGCATTTCTGTCACCTCTGAAATTTCCTTTGTGTTTCTTTTTAGTCAGTCCCACACCTTTATAGAGTCAACTGCTATTCTGATTTCTATCACCATATATTAATTTTGCTTGTTTATCAACTAGATATAAATGGAATCATACAATTTTATTCTGGTTTCTTTTGTTCAACGTATTTTTCAGATTCATTCATATTGCAGGTATAACTAGTTTGTTCTTTTGTATTGCTGAATAATATTCTGTTGAATAAATATAACACTCTTTACCCATTTTCCTGTTGATGGTTGCTTGGATTGTTTCTAATTTTGGGTATTTAGTACAAAGCTATTACGAATATTGTTCTGTTTGTGAAGTATTCTAGGTTGTAGGGTTTACTTTATTAGAACTGCCAATTGTTTTCCAAGTGGTTGTACAATACTGTCTCACACTTCCATCAAGAATATATGAGTTGCATTTGCTTCACATCTTTATCCATACTCACTGTTGTCAATCTCCTTAATTTTATTCTCCTTAATTTCATTCTAGCAGGTATATATATATAGTAGTATTTCATTGTGGTTCTAATTTACATTTCCCTTGCAGTAATGATGCTGACCACCTTTTCATGTTCATTGGCCATTTGTATATCTTCATAGGGTATCTGTTTGAGGCATTGGCCTAATTTTTAAATGAGTTATTTACCTTTTTATTATTGATTATAGAAATTCTTTATGTATTCTAGATGCATGCAAAGCCTTTTGTCGGATGTGTGTTACTAATATTTTCTGCCAGTTTGAGGCTTTTTTCCCCACTTTTTAATAATATCTTTTGATGACACCCAGATTACTGAGTGTTTTCTTTTATGATTAACTTTTTTTTTGTCTTAAGAAATCTTTGATTATCCCAACCTGTGAACATATATGTTTACTTCTAAAAATGTTATAGGTTTAGCTTTTATATTTAGATCTGTAACCCATCTTGACTTAATTTTATATGTGGTGTGAGGTAGAGATAAAGGTTTACTTTATTGTATATGGAAATTTGGCTGTTCTAGCACCATTTGTTAAAAAGACTTTCCTTTTCCCATTGAGTTTGACCATATATGTGTAGTCTATTTCTGTCCTGTTTTGTTCCGTTGGTCTACTTGTCTGCCTTTGCTTCAGTGCCACATTGAATAATGACTTGAATATTTTAACTTTACAGTGGGTCTTGAAATCAGGTCGTGTAAATCTACCAGCTTTGGTCCTTTAAGATTGTCTTGGCAATTTATAGGTCCTTTGACTTCCCATACAAATTTTATTTTTAAGTATATTTTATTGATCATACTATTACAGTGGTCTCATTTTTTTCCCCTTTATCCCCCTATGCCCTTCACTTCACCTCCCACCAACATTCCCTCCCTCGCTTGGTTCATGTCCATGGGTTGTACATATAAGTTCTTTGGCTTCTCCATTTCCCGTACTATTCTTGACCTTCCCCTGTCTATTTTGTACCTACTATTTATGCTTCTTATTCCCTGTATTTTTCCCCTATTCTCTTCCCTCCCACTCCCCACTGATAACTCTCCATGTGATCTCCATTTCTGTGATTTTATTACTGTTCTAGTTGTTTGCTTAGTTTTTGTTTTTTAGATTCAGTTGTTGATAGTTGCGAGTTTGTTACCATTTTACTATTCATAGTTTTGATCATCTTCTTTTTCCTAGGTAAGTTAACATTTCATATAATAAGGGCTTGGTGATGATGAGCTCCTTTAACTTGACCTTATCTGGGAAGCACTTTATCTGCCCTCCCATTCTAAATGAAAGCTTTACTGCATGGAGTAATCTTGGATGTAGGTCCTTGCCTTTCATGACTTGGAATACTTCTTTCCAGCACCTTCGTGTCTGTAAGGTTTCTTTTGAGAAATCAGCTGACAGTCTGATGGGACCTCCTTTGTAGATAACTGTCTCCTTTTCTCTTGCCACTCTTAAGATTCTCTATCTTTAATCTTGGGTAATGTAATTATGATGTGCCTTGGTGTGTGCTTCCTTGGGTCCAACTTGTTTGGGACTCTGAGCTTCCTGGACTTCCTGGAAGTCTATTTCCTTTGCCAGATTAGGTGAGCTCTCCTTCATTATATTTTCAAATAAGTTTTAAATTTATTGCTCTTCCTCTCTCTTTCTGGCACCCTATGATTTAGATGTTGGAATTTTTAAAGTTGTCCCAGAGGTTCCTAAGCCTTTCCTTGTTTTGTTTGTTTGTTTGTTTTTAATTCTTGTTTCTTCATTCTGTTCTGGTTGAATATTTATTTCTTTCTTTTGTTCCAAATCATTGATTTGAGTTCCAGTTTTCTTCCCTTCACTGTTGGTTCCTTGTATATTTTTCTTTATTTCACTTTTCATAGCCTTCACTTCTTCCTTTATTTTGTGACTGTACTCAATCATGTCTGTGAGCATCCTGATTACTGGTGTTTTGGACTCTGCATCTAATAGGTTGTCTGTGTCCTCGTTACTTAGTTCTTTTTCTGGAGTTTCGATCTGTTCTTTCATTTGGGCCATATTTCTTTATCTTGGCACACCTATTACATTGTAAGGGGTAGAGCCTTAGGTATTCACCAGGGTGGGGCAACACATGTCGCTGCATTGTGATGCTGTGGGGCTAATGGGTCTGAGAGGGAACAATGCCACTTGCTTGGCTTTTGGATGGCTTTCACTTCCCCTGCTCCCCACAAGCAAATTTGGCCCATCTAGTGCTGATTCCTGGGTGGATGCGTTTGAGTACATTCTAGGACCTCATGGATCTCTCCAACAAACTCTCCTGTGAGACTAGGAGTTTCTCCCACCACTGCAACCCCTACAGGTTTTTCAGCCAGAGGTTTTGAGGCTTTAGTTTCCCACACTGGAACCCTGGGTGGCGTGATCTCTCTTGTTCCCCAGTTGTTCCTCCCAGTTTATCCACACACAAATGTGGGACCTTTGGTTTTCCAGCCACCATCTCACCCCTCTGGGTCCCCCCAGCCGCCGCCTTGTTGCTTCCTCTCTGCCCAGGCTTCCAGTCTTTGCCCCTCATACCAGTCTGGATGAATGTTTCTTCTTTAACTCCTTGATTGTTGGACTTCCATACAATTCGATTTTCTGGCAGTTCTGGTTGGCTTTGTTTTTAAATTTGTTGTTGTCCTTCTTTTGGTTGTGTGAGGAAGCAGAGTGTATCTACCTATGCCTCCATCTTGACTGGCAGTTTTCCATATAAATTTTAGAATTAGTTTCTCAGTTTCTCCAAAAAAAATTGGGGGAATTTTTTTTGCAATTGCATTGAATGTATGAATCTATTTGGGGAGAATTGACATCTTAATATTGACTCTTCCAATTCTTGAACATCTCTTTATTTAGCTTTCCTTTAATTTCTTTCAATAGTGTTTTATAACTTTCATTTTAGACATTTTGAACATCTCTTGGTAAATTATTCCTAGGTGAGCATTTTTAATGATTTGTAACTGGTATTTTTTATTTTATTTTTCAGCCATTTATTGCTTGTACCGACATATGACTGATTTTTGTATATTGACATTGTGAACACCCTGTGACATGTAAAATTGTAGATTTAGGATTTTCCATATACACCATCATGTTGCCTGCAAATAAAAAGTATTACATCTTCCTGTTTAATCTTCACACTTTTTGTTTCTGTTTACTGTGTTACTGCTCTAGCCAGGGCCTCCAGTGCAGTATATACGGACATTTCTGTGTATTTTTTGGCTTCCCTTTTCATTTTCCAAGCTTTCACTCAAGTCGGTGCTTCTGATTAGGCTGGAGATTTTAATAGTGTAACGTGGGGTATGGTACTTTCTGGAGAGCAGCTGCTTATTTCTTCACGGAAAATATGGGGTGTTTCATTACGATAATGAAATGAGAATTCTGTTCTTTCACAGGCTAGATGCCAGGTTTACCAAGAAACCTAGGGTGTTTAGTGGTCTTCCCAGAGGCTGTTTTAACTATTGTCTAAAAGTTCAGGATGGAAGTATGAACCTTCATTGTTCCCTAATTTGTAAATCTTAGAAATGTTATTGTTACCCTAGCCTGAAACTGGAGAGAGATGCTAGGAGCCACATGCAAATGAATTCCTATAACTCTTAGATGCTTGAGAAGTAATAGTGGCAAGTATTATTAGGGAGGGCTGAGGAGGAGAGTAAAGTGACTGCCAAAAGGACACTTTACTCCGAA